AGGCACTTTCAAACTGGTATGGCCATAAGCGAAATTAGTAGAAAGTGATCTCGCTGATGTTGGTATAATATCAAACACTGGTTGCTACAAAAGACAAGACGCTTCTGACTAGGGAAAAAAGTGATCTGATTATGACATCATAATCTAAAAAAGAAATAAACAAAAGCTTACGGCACCTGAGGTTCCTAGTTGGTCTCCCATACAAGTACTAATGAGGCCCAAGTCTGCATGACTTCTGAGATCTGACGAGATCAGGCACTTTGAGACTGGTATGGCCATAGGCGAAATTTGCAAAAAGTGATATCTCTGATGTTGGTATAATATCAAACACTGGTTGCGACAAAAGACAAGTCGCTTCTGACTAGGGAAAAAGTGATCTGATTATGACATCATAATCTAAAAAAGAAATAAACAAAAGCTTACGACACCTGAGGTTCCTAGTTGGTCTCCCATACAAGTTCTAATCAGACCCAAGTCTGCATAACTTCTGAGATCTGACGAGATAAGGCACTTTCAAACTGGTATGGCCGTAGGCAAAGCTAGCAGAAAGTGATCTCGCTGATGTTGGTATAATATCAAACACTGGTTGCGACAAAAGACAAGACGCTTCTGACTAGGGAAAAAAGTGTTCTGATTATGACATCATAATCTAAAAAAGAAATAAACAAAAGCTTACAGCACCTGAGGTCTCTAGTTGGTCTCCCATACAAGTTCTAATCATGCCCAAGTCTGCATAACTTCTGAGATCTGACGAGATAAGGCACTTTCAGACTGGTATGGCCGTAGGCAAAGGTAACAGAAAGTGATCTCGCTGATGTTGGTATAATATCAAACACTGGTTGTGACAAAAGACAAGACGCTTCTGACTAGGGAAAAAAGTGATCTGATTATGACATCATAATCTAAAAAAGAAATAAACAAAACCTTACGTCACCTGAGGTTCCTAGTTGGTCTCCCATACAAGTACTAAGCAGGCCAATGTATGCATGACTTCTGAGATCTGACGAGATCAGGCACTTTCAGACTGGTATGGCTGTAGACAAAATTAGCAGAAAGTGATCTCGCTGATGTTGGTATAATACCAAACACTGGTTGCGACAAAAGACAAGACGCTTCTGACTAGGGAAAAAAGTGATCTGATTATGACATCATAATCTAAAAAATAAATAAACAAAAGCTTACGGCACCTGAGGTTCCTAGTTAATCTCCCATACAAGTACTAAGCAGGCCCAAGTCTGCATTACTTCTGAGATCTGACGAGATCTGGCACTTTCAGACTAGTATGACCATAGGCAAAATTAGCAGAAAGTGATCTCGCTGATGTTGGTATAATATCAAACACTGGTTGCGACAAAAGACAAGACGCTTCTGACTAGGGAAAAAAGTGATCTGATTATGACATCATAATCTAAAAAGAAATAAACAAAAGCTTGCACAGCACCTGAGGGTCTCTGGTTGAGTTTTCCCAGCACAAGTTCTAATGTACCCAAGTCTACTTAACTGAGATCACAAGCAAGATAAGGCACTTTCAGACTGGTATGGCATTAAGAGCAAAAGGTAACAGAAAGTATTGATCTCATGATGTTGGTAGAATATCAAACATTGGTTGCGACAAAAGACAAGACGCTTCTGAATAGGGAAAAAAGTGATCTGATTATGACATCATAACGCAAAAAAGAAATAAACAAAAGCTTACGGCACCTGAGGTTCCTAGTTGGTCTCCCATACAAGTACTAAGCAGGCCCAAGTCTGCATGACTTCTGAGATCTGACGAGATCAGGCACTTTCAGACTGGTATGGCCATAAGCGAAATTAGTAGAAAGTGATCTCGCTGATGTTGGTATAATATCAAACACTGGTTGCGACAAAAGACAAGACGCTTCTGACTAGGGAAAAAAGTGTTCTGATTATGACATCATAATCTAAAAAAGAAATAAACAAAAGCTTACGACACCTGAGGTTCCTAGCTGGTCTCCCATACAAGTACTAAGCAGGCCCAAGTCTGCACAACATCTGAGATCTGACGAGATCAGGCACTCAGACTAGCAAAATTTGCTTAGCCGCCAGAAATTGGTAGCAGTGATCGCTGATGTTAATTATAATATCAAAACACTGGACTGCGACAAAAGACAAGGCGCTTCTGACTGGGGAAAAAGTGATCTGATTACTTGACATCACTTAATCTAAAAAGGAAATAAACAAAAGCTACCATGCATAACCTTTGCGGCACCTGAGGTTCCTAGTTGGTCTCCCCATACAAATTACTAAAGCGGGCCCTCTGCATGACTTCTGAATCTGGCGAGATACGTTGCACTTTCCAGACGCTGGTATGGCGTGGCGAGTGCCAGAAAGTGATCTCGCTGATGTTGGTATAATATCAAACACTGGTTGTGACAAAAGACAAGACGCTTCTGACTAGGGAAAAAAGTGATCTGATTATGACATCATAATCTAAAAAAGAAATAAACAAAAGCTTACGGCACCTGAGGTTCCTAGTTGGTCTCCCATACAAGTACTAAACAGGCCCAAGTCTGCATGACTTCTGAGATCTGACGAGATCAGGCACTTTCAGACTGGTATGGCCATAGGCAAAATTAGTGGAAAGTGATCTCGCTGATGTTGGTATAATATCAAACACTGGTTGCGACAAAAGACAAGACGCTTCTGACTAGGGAAAAAAGTGTTCTGATTATGACATCATAATCTAAAAAAGAAATAAACAAAAGCTTACGACACCTGAGGTTCCTAGCTGGTCTCCCATACAAGTACTAAGCAGGCCCAAGTCTGCACAACATCTGAGATCTGACGAGATCAGGCACTTTCAGACTGGTATGGCCATAGGCGAAATTAGTAGAAAGTGATCTCGCTGATGTTTGTATAATATCAAACACTGGTTGCGACAAAAGACAAGACGCTTCTGACTAGGGAAAAAAGTGATCTGATTATGACATCATAATCTAAAAAAGAAATAAACAAAAGCTTACGGCACCTGAGGTTCCTAGTTGGTCTCCCATACAAGTACTAAGCAGGCCTAAGTCTGCATGACTTCTGAGATCTGACGAGATCAGGCACTTTCAGACTGGTATGGCCATAGGCGAAATTAGCAGAAAGTGATCTCGCTGATGTTGGTATAATATCAAACACTGGTTGCTACAAAAGACAAGACGCTTCTGACTAGGGAAAAAAGTGATCTGATTATGACATCATAATCTAAAAAAGAAATAAACAAAAGCTTACGGCACCTGAGGTTCCTAGTTGGTCTCCCATACAAGTACTAAGCAGGCCCAATTCTGCATGACTTCTGAGATCTGACGAGATCAGGCACTTTCAAACTGGTATGGCCGTAAGCGAAATTTGTAAAAAGTGATATCGCTGATGTTGGTATAATATTAAACACTGGTTGCGACAAAAGACAAGACGCTTCTGACTAGGGAAAAAAGTGATCTGATTATGACATCATAATCTAAAAAAGAAATAAACAAAAGCTTACGGCACCTGAGGTTCCTAGTTGGTCTCCCAAACATGTACTAAAAAGACCCAAGTCTGCATGACTTCTGAGATCTGACGAGATCAGGCACTTTCAGACTGGTATGGACGTAGGCGAAATTTGCAGAAAGTGATCTCGCTGATGTTGGTATAATATCAAACACTGGTTGCGACAAAAGACAAGACGCTTCTGACTAGGGAAAAAAGTGATCTGATTATGACATCATAATCTAAAAAAGAAATAAACAAAAGCTTACGGCACCTGAGGTTCCTAGTTGGTCTACCATACAAGTACTAATCAGGCCCAAGTCTGCATAACTTCTGAGATCTGATGTGATAAGGCACTTTCAGACTGGTATGGCCGTAGGCAAAACTAGCAGAAAGTGATCTCGCTGATGTTGGTATAATATCAAACACTGGTTGCGACAAAAGACAAGACGCTTCTGACTAGGGAAAAAAGTGTTCTGATTATGACATCATAATCTAAAAAAGAAATAAACAAAAGCTTACAGCACTTGAGGTCTCTAGTTGGTCTCCCATACAAGTACTAATCAGGCCCAAGTCTGCATAACTTCTGAGATCTGACAAGATCAGGCACTTTCAGACTGGTATGGCCATAGGCGAAATTAGCAGAAAGTGATCTCGCTGATATTGGTATAATATCAAACACTGGTTGCGACAAAAGACAAGACACTTCTGACTAGGGAAAAAAGTGATCTGATTATGACATCATAATCTAAAAAATAAATAAACAAAAGCTTACGGCACCTGAGGTTCCTAGTTGGTGTCCCATACAAGTACTAAGCATGCCCAAGTCTGCATGACTTCTGAGATCTGACGAGATCAGGCACTTTCAGACTGGTATGGCCATAGGTGAAATGAATAGAAAGTGATCTCGCGGATGTTGGTATATTATCAAACACTGGTTGCGACAAAAGACAAGACGCTTCTGACAAGGGAAAAAAGTGATCTGATTATGACATCATAATCTAAAAAAGAAATAAACAAAAGCTTACGGCACCTGAGGTTCCTAGTTGGTCTCCCATACAAGTACTAAGCAGGCCCAAGTCTGCATGACTTCTGAGATCTGACGAGATCAGGCACTTTCAAACTGGTATGGCCGTAAGCAAAATTTGCAAAAAGTGATCTCGCTGATGTTGGTATAATATCAAACACTGGTTGCGACAAAAGACAAGACGCTTCTGACTAGGGAAAAAGTGATCTGATTATGACATCATAATCTAAAAAAGAAATAAACAAAAGCTTACGGCACCTGAGGTTCCTAGTTGGTCTCCCATACAAGTACTAAACAGGCCCAAATCTGCATGACTTCTGAGATCTGATGAGATCAGGCACTTTCAGACTTGTATGGCCATAGGCGAAATTAGTAGAAAGTGATCTCGCTGATGTTGGTATAATATCAACCACTGGTTGCGACAAAAGACAAGACGCCTCTGACTAGGGAAAAAAGTGATCTGATTATGACATCATAATCTAAGAAATAAATAAACAAAAGCTTACGTCACCTGAGGTTCCTAGTTGGTACCCATACAAGTACTAAGCAGGCCCAAGTCTGCACGACTTCTGAGATCTGACGAGATCAGACACTTTCAGACTGGTATGGCCGTAGGCGAAGTTAGCAGAAAGTGATCTTGCTGATGTTGGTATAATATCAAACACTGGTTGCGACAAAAGACAAGACGCTTCTGACTAGGGATAAAGTGATCTGATTATGACATCATAATCTAAAAAAGAAATAAATAAAAGCTTACGGCACCTGAGGTTCCTAGTTGGTCTCCCATACAAGTACTAAACAGGCCCAAGTCTGCATGACTTCTGAGATCTGACGAGATCAGGCACCTTCAGACTGGTATGGCCATAGGCTTAAATTAGTAGGAAAGCTTACCCCAGATGCTGGTAGCAATATCAAAACACTGGCGTAATAAAAAGACAAAAGACGCTCTGACTAGGGGAAAAGGCGCGATCTGATTATGACATCATAATCTAAAAAAAGAAATGCACAAAGTTTCACGCAAATCTGAGTTCCTAGTTGGTCTCCCATACAATTACTAAGCAAGCCCAAGTCTGCATGACTTCTGAGATCTGACGAAATCAGGCACTTTCAAACTGGTATGGCCATAAACAAAATTTGCCAAAAGTGATATCGCTTATGTTGGTATAATATCAAACACTGGTTGCAACAAAAGACAAGACGCTTCTGACTAGGGAAAAAGTGATCTGATTATGACATCATAATCTAAAAAAGAAATAAACAAAAGCTTACAGCACTTGAGGTTCCTAGTTGGTCTCCCATACAAGTACTAAACAGGCCCAAGTCTGCATGACTTCTGAAATCTGACAAGATCAGGCACTTTCAGACTGGTATGGCCGTAGGCGAAATTAGCAGAAAGTGATCTCGCTGATGTTGGTATAATATCAAACACTGGTTGCGACAAAAGACAAGACGCTTCTGACTAGGGAAAAAAGTGATCTGATTATGACATCATAATCTAAAAAATAAATAAACAAAAGCTTACGGCACCTGAGGTTCCTAGTTAATCTCCCATACAAGTACTAAGCAGGCCCAAGTCTGCATTACTTCTGAGATCTGACGAGATCTGGCACTTTCAGACTAGTATGACCATAGGCAAAATTAGCAGAAAGTGATCTCGCTGATGTTGGTATAATATCAAACACTGGTTGCGACAAAAGACAAGACGCTTCTGACTAGGGAAAAAAGTGATCTGATTATGACATCATAATCTAAAAAGAAATAAACAAAGACTTACGGCACCTGAGTTCCTAGTTGGACTCCCAAACATGAAAAGCTGCTAAAAAGACCCAAAGTCTGCATGACTTCCTGAGAGATCTGGCGAGATCCAGGCACTTTCGAAGACTGAGTATGGGCGTGGCGAAATTTGCAGAGAAGAAGTGATCACCGCTGACATTTGGTACAATATCAAACACTGGTTTTAGCGACAAAAGAACAAAATAACGACTGGGGAAAAGTGATCTGGAGTGCCATCGCATCACACAAAAATAAACAAAAGCTTACGGCACCTGAGGTTCCTAGTTGGTCTACCATACAAGTACTAATCAGGCCCAAGTCTGCATAACTTCTGAGATCTGATGTGATAAGGCACTTTCAGACTGGTATGGCCGTAGGCAAAACTAGCAGAAAGTGATCTCGCTGATGTTGGTATAATATCAAACACTGGTTGCGACAAAAGACAAGACGCTTCTGACTAGGGAAAAAAGTGTTCTGATTATGACATCATAATCTAAAAAAGAAATAAACAAAAGCTTACAGCACCTGAGGTCTCTAGTTGGTCTCCCATACAAGTACTAATCAGGCCCAAGTCTGCATAACTTCTGAGATCTGACAAGATCAGGCACTTTCAGACTGGTATGGCCGTAGGCGAAATTAGCAGAAAGTGATCTCGCTGATGTTTGTATAATATCAAACACTGGTTGCGACAAAAGACAAGACACTTCTGACTAGGGAAAAAAGTGATCTGATTATGACATCATAATCTAAAAAATAAATAAACAAAAGCTTACGGCACCTGAGGTTCCTAGTTGGTCTCCCATACAAATACTAAGCAGGCCCAAGTCTGCATGACTTCTGAGATCTGACGAGATCATGCACTTTCAGACTGGTATGGCCGTAGGCGAAATTAGCAGAAAGTGATCTCGCTGATGTTGGTATAATATCAAACACTGGTTGCGACAAAAGACAAGACGCTTCTGACTAGGGAAAAAAGTGATCTTATTATGACATTATAATCTAAAAAAGAAATAAACAAAAGCTTACGGCACCTGAGGTTCCTAGTTGGTCTCCCATACAAGTACTAAGCAGGCCCAATTCTGCATGACTTCTGAGATCTGACGAGATCAGGCACTTTCAAACTGGTATGGCCGTAAGCGAAATTTGCAAAAAGTGATATCGCTGATGTTGGTATAATATTAAACACTGGTTGCGACAAAAGACAAGACGCTTCTGACTAGGGAAAAAAGTGATCTGATTATGACATCATAATCTAAAAAAGAAATAAACAAAAGCTTACAGCACCTGAGGTTCCTAGTTGATCTCCCATACAAGTACTAAGCAGGCCCAAATCTGCATGACTTCTGAGATCTGACGAGATCAGGCACTTTCAGACTGGTATGGCCATAGGCAAAATTAGTAGAAAGTGATCTCGCTGATGTTGGTATGATATCAAACACTGGTTGCGACAAAAGACAAGACGCTTCTGACTAGGGAAAAAGTGATCTGATTATGACATCATAATCTAAAAAATAAATAAACAAAAGCTTACGGCACCTGAGGTTCCTAGTTGGTCTCCCATACAAGTACTAAACAGGTCCAAGTCACACGCCCGAAGCTTCCTGAATCTGAATCCGGGCACTTTTCAGGTAGGCTACATGGCGTGGCGAAGTTAGCAGAAAGTGATCTTGCTGATGTTGGTATAATATCAAACACTGGTTCGCGACAAAAGACAAGGCAGCTTCTGACTAGGGAAAAAGTGATCTGATTATGACATCATAATCTAAAAAGAAATAAACAAAAAGCTTCACGGCACCTGAGGTTCCTAGTTGGTCTCCCATACAAGTACTAAGCAGGCCAAGTTTGCATGACTTCTGAGATCTGGCACTTTCAGACTGGTATGGCCGTAGGCAAAATTAGCAGAAAGTGATCTCGCTGAAGTTGGTATAATATCAAACACTGGTTGCGACAAAAGACAAGACGCTTCTGACTAGGGAAAAAAGTGATCCGATTATGACATCATAATCTAAAAAAGAAATAAACAAAAGCTTACGGCACCTGAGGTTCCTAGTTGGTCTCCCATACAAGTACTAAGCAGGCCCAAGTCTGCATGACTTCGGAGATCTGACGAGATCAGGCACTTTCAGACTGGTATGGCCATAGGCAAAATGAATAGAAAGTGATCTCGCGGATGTTGGTATAATATCAAACACTGGTTGCGACAAAAGACAAGACGCTTCTGACTAGGGAAAAAAGTGATCTGATTATGACATCATAATCTAAAAAATAAATAAACAAAAGCTTACAGCACCTGAGGTTCCTAGTTGGTCTCCCATACCAATACTAAGCAGGCCCAAGTTTGCATGACTTCTGAGATCTGGCACTTTCAGACTGGTATGGCCGTAGGCGAAATTAGCAGAAAGTGATTTCGCTGAAGTTGGTATAATATCAAACACTGGTTGCGACAAAAGACAAGACGCTTCTGACTAGGGAAAAAAGTGTTCTGATTATGACATCATAATCTAAAAAAGAAATAAACAAAAGCTTACAGCACCTGAGGTCTCTAGTTAGTCTCCCATACAAGTACTAATCAGGCCCAAGTCTGCATAACTTCTGAGATCTGACAAGATCAGGCACTTTCAGACTGGTATGGCCGTAGGCGAAATTAGCAGAAAGTGATCTCGCTGATGTTTGTATAATATCAAACACTGGTTGCGACAAAAGACAAGACGCTTCTGACAAGGGAAAAAAGTGATCTGATTATGACATCATAATCTAAAAAAGAAATAAACAAAAGCTTATGGCACCTGAGGTTCCTAGTTGGTCTCCCATACAGGTACTAATCAGGCCCAAGTCTGCATAACTTCTGAGATCTGGCACGTTCAGACTGGTATGGCCGTAGGCGAAATTAGCAGAAAGTCATCTCGCTGAAGTTGGTATAATATCAAACACTGGTTGCGACAAAAGACAAGACGCTTCTGACAAGGGAAAAAAGTGATATGATTATGACATCATAATCTAAAAAAGAAATAAACAAAAGATTACGGCACCTGAGGTTCCTAGTTGGTCTCCCATACAGGTACTAATCAGGCCCAAGTCTGCATAACTTCTGAGATCTGACGAGATCAGGCACTTTCAGACTGGTATGGCCGTAGGCGAAATTAGCAGAAAGTGATCTCGCTGATGTTTGTATAATATCAAACACTGGTTGCGACAAAAGACAAGACGCTTCTGACTAGGGAAAAAAGTGATCTGATTATGACATCATAATCTAAAAAATAAATAAACAAAAGCTTACGGCACCTGAGGTTCCTAGTTGGTCTCCCATACAATTACTAAGCAAGCCCAAGTCTGCATGACTTCTGAGATCTGACGAAATCAGGCACTTTCAAACTGGTATGGCCATAAACAAAATTTGCCAAAAGTGATATCGCTTATGTTGGTATAATATCAAACACTGGTTGCAACAAAAGACAAGACGCTTCTGACTAGGGAAAAAGTGATCTGATTATGACATCATAATCTAAAAAAGAAATAAACAAAAGCTTACAGCACTTGAGGTTCCTAGTTGGTCTCCCATACAAGTACTAAACAGGCCCAAGTCTGCATGACTTCTGAGATCTGACGAGATCGGGCACTTTCAGACTGGTATGGCAGTAGGCGAAGTTAGCAGAAAGTGATCTTGCTGATGTTGGTATAATATCAAACACTGGTTGCGACAAAAGACAAGACGCTTCTGACTAGGGAAAAAAGTGATCTGATTATGACATCATAATCTAAAAAAGAAATAAACAAAAGCTTACGGCACCTGAGGTTCCTAGTTGGTCTCCCATACAAGTACTAATCAGGCCCAAGTCTGCATGACTTCTGAGATCTGACGAGATCAGGCACTTTCAGACTGGTATGATCGTAGTCAAAATTAGCAGAAAGTGATCTCGTTGATGTTGGTATAATATCAAACACTGGTTGCGACAAAATACAAGACGCTTCTGACTAGGGAAAAAAGTGATCTGATTATGACATCATAATCTAAAAAAGAAATAAACAAAAGCTTACGGCACCTGAGGTTCCTAGTTGTTCTCCCAAACATGTACTAAAAAGACCCAAGTCTGCATGACTTCTGAGATCTGACGAGATCAGGCACTTTCAGACTGGTATGGACGTAGGCGAAATTAGCAGAAAGTGATCTCGCTGAT